CAGGGAAAATCAAAATAACAGCACAGATTTTATGCCAAAAGTTATGATATGGTTGATCCTTGGCAATTTTCAAATAAGACAATAAATCGTTATTCTAGCTTCTAGATCACAGCAAAACATACAAAATGTACTCACCTCCATCTACTTGAAATATAGTTTTCAGTTTTCCCAGTGCATCAGAGAAATTTCGGACTTCTTGTGTAAGTTGTATTATATCCTCCTGGTCCATAATAGCACTGTCTACATAGTCTGAACCAATGCTGCTTAGTGAATTGCTTTTACTTGATCGATTACCCCCTGTAGATTTTGAAATCTGTCTCTTGGCACTGAAGTTACGTGCAACTGGACTGGCATCTGGTGACGTGGAACCAGACGTGAAAACAGGTCGGCACCGATAGTCATCACCAAAGGGCTCCTGGAAATATCAATGTACAAAATCAAGATAGTTAACATTATCCATTAAACTGTGTCTCCAGGTGTACAATAGGAAACATGCTGACCAGATTTCATTTTTGACAGTTTGTGTGATTCATATTGATTTTGGGAGATTTAAATTTCTCGGTGTGTACATGATTTTGCAGATTTTTCTTGGATAGTAATCATATTGTGTTTTTTTTGTTTATTTTTAAATTTTTTGTGCCAGGCGACAGTTCTGGACATTGAATGTTGATTTTTTTTTGTATATACAAATTGCAAGTGCTAGTGCTAACATATAGTGCACCAGAGAAGCCATATTCATGTTTGGGACGACATTACAGGGCTATGCAGCCAGTTCTCTATCAAATGGAAATTTATGCGCTATCCTTGCATGAACAAGGCTCAGTCGAACACAAGCTCCTGCGGAACTTAACCAAGGTTCCCCAAAGTTGCATTCATTAGTGAATGAATCTGGCCAGTGGAATTGGCCTTGAGTCCGTGGGACACTCACCCAGAGTAGGGAGTCAACCCGTTTGTTGTTCAGTCTAAGAAACCTGGGTCTACCGATCATGAGTCTGATGCGACAACCACTATGCTAGCAGTGACCGGCATACAGTGTTTGTAACTATACCATATTTGCTTTCTTAGAAGCACATCTCCAATAAATCGCACTTATTGTATACTGGATCATTAAATATTACTTATTTTTACCTAATAGAGCAAATATGGTAATTTTATGATGCCTATCTAACCAGCACAGACATCACCGATAACCATCTGTGCCGTCTCTGCAAATTGGAAATGACATCATGGGAATTCCCCAAAATTACAATACAAAAGTACCCAGTCATTTCCTAAGTTTTGAACACACTCAGAAAATGACTGACATTATTAAAATACATATACTGCCACTGATAAAATTAAGGAGATTATTTTGTTTATCACAAAGGTTACTGATAATGTCTTTAAGATGATAGTCTGCCATCTCCTTCAAAATTGTATCGTCAATATCGATCACTCTTTGTATTTATGGTGACAAAAAATCAATTTTACCAGTTTGTTGCTATGGAAACTTCAATGACCCTGAAGCTCTATTTTTTCATTCTCGGATTTTATGTCATTGCTGATTGGCCCATTAAAAGGAGGGCCACCCACTATTTTATTTTCACTGTTATATATAACCATTCTAAGGTCTATGATCTAACAAACAATTCCCTTCAAGCATAGACCCTCTAACTGTTAGAGGGTCTATGATTCAAGTAAGAATTTCTATTCGTAGGATTAAAAATAGATTATAAATTTTAAATCCTGGTTGAGTCAGTATAATATGTCATTTATGAGTTGGGGTGTGTGTTGTTATGACGTACTCTTGTCATTAAGACGCATCGTCATGTACGTCAGTAGTGAGTTATCAGGGATTAACAGTCAATATTAAATGATAAAGTTCAGAGATTGTTATCTATAGAACTGGAGTAGATTAGACCAGTCTATAAAGGAACATACACACACAGAGGATGATTAACATTTAATTACTGTAGTACAAGGATGGGTTTAAGATGTCTAGTATAGACAAGGTAGAACTGGTACACCTGGCGTGGTCAATGGAAGACACGCACAATATATCAGTCCAGAACGAACAAGGTGTATAGTATAATGGTACTGGTACACATTGCTACATGAAGGACACACTCAATGTAAAAAGTATATCATACAGCAGTACTGGTATATACTGCTTGGTCCATAGAAGACAGTCAAGTGTCCTGAGACCTTGTAATATTAACCCAGAACAAAATACACAAAATAACTGTGTGTAACTGTGTTTGATCATGACCATGCCAGGGTTAATAGATACCATGCTGCTTTGCTTGTATTAATAATTAAAGATACAACATCAAAGCAACATTAGCCGCTTTCCAAGGATCCTTGAGTAAACTGAAAACTACATGTACACACACTAACGGGTAAATGGCAAATGACATTTGTATACCAGTAATTTCAGGAGAGTTTTTTATAATATTCATACTGGTAGAAAACTTTGACTTCCAATAATTCACTTAAAAGTGAATTCCTATAAATGAATTTTCTGTATTTGACGACTAAGCACATGTTAAGTTCTATTTAGGTGGTGACAATAATTCTTTTCAGGATTCACATACAAAATGTAGACAATATAGATGTATTTTACGAAGAAGGTGGGGAAGGTGGAATCAAATATCTTATCCATCCCTGCCACACCTACCCTAAAAAAATAACATACACCAAGGTTAGCAAAAAAAATATACAAGATAATGTAACTTGTAATGAATGAGTTAAAGTTCCATCTCGTGTTCCCAGGGATGGTGAAGAAAAAGTCACTAAGCAGCTATCAAACAGTTGTTGTTCAGTTTTCAGCTCTAAATATGTTATAATATTGATCACACTCATAGTTTACTGAGACATAGCAAAGAGGATCTATGGACACAGTTAAAGCGTGAGAGTCGTCACCTGCGCATGCGTCAGATATATCGTGTCATTGTTTATAAACAAGATCTATGAGGTCCATGAGCCTTTGCGTTTTTAGCGCGTGTTATCGTCGCTTGGGACTCAATTCCCACGCGTGCGCAGGTGACAACCCTCCCGCTTTAAAAGAAATTAAAAATTAAAAGACTAGGTTTCACGTTTTAAAAGATAAATTTGTGACATTTAAGATTACAGTGCAAGCTAACCCACACCTTCCTATCACAGTATAAATCAACCATATTTAACGGTCATACTAGGATTCGTAATTGACTCACACCATTGTATGAATTTTCTATTGAAAAGCGAATGACCTGAAATGTACTTGAAACTAATTAAACTACAGTGAGTGCTATTCCTATCATAGCCATTTTTTATCTGCCAGACTTTTCTGTATATTTTCAAATTAATTTTATATTTTTTCAAATTTAATTTTATAATTTTTTAACATTTCATATTTTTTCAAAATTAATTTTTGTAATTTTTCAAAATAAATATTGTAATTTTTCATCATTAATTTCATAATTTTTCAACATTAATTTGAAGCAGAAGGATGATATACAATAATAACAGATATTTATGATATATCAGCAAAACCACTGTAAACAGATAAATTTAATAAAATGAATTCCAAGTGAAAAAAACAACAACAGTATTTAATTAATACCGGTAAGTCTAATCATTCAGATGGAAAATCCTGAAACAAGGATTTGCAATTCAGATTGGCTCCAGACAATACACAATATACACGCTACTATTCAAGATTCAAATACATAGCATACCATATTGCAATTCTATTATACAATAAACTGAAAGATATTAATTTTCACCGCATATAATTTTGATATTTTGAGATCGTACACATATATATGTGACACAATGAGTTCTATTGTAATCGTACTTGTTCCCATTTTTTAATTCAGTGGATATCAGTGACAACAAAACTAAAATTCAGTGCATATTTAATGCATTAACAGTATTGTACAAAAGGAATCATATTGGTACCACTATAGAACCCCTTGATAAAAGACACTACACCCATCAATAGCATAGCCTCAAGTTCAAGGATAAAGCACACAGTGTACTACTCTCACCAAATAATCCATTCATGAAATGCTATGAAATTATTCGGTTTTTGATATCCATGTTTTCCAGAGAATTACAACCACTTTCAATGAAACAGGCTGGTACGTGTTGAATTACAAAAACAATGTGCTGTTATGTATCATTAATAATAGTGTTTTGTACCTGTCTAAAGTAATTGACCTCAGATGTTATTTTATTTGTATATATTTTTGTTTCAAATAAAATATACCGATACCATACCACTATTACTAACAGATTGTGAGAAATGAATTACCTGCTACAAGTATAGATAGTCATTTAATTTTAAACATATCTATCCGATATTTAAACATACATACCTTTCATCGCCCTAATATGGATTCATATATCCGCCAGAAACATCCAAATTAGACAGACCACTACAGACTGCTATCTGTACAGACGCAGAATGTAATCAAATCAACGTTTAGGTTTTATAGTACGACTAAAACCTGACGAGTGTTGTAAAGATGATGAATGGTTGCCATGGAAAAGAATTAAACGTGTCCATTTCAGGGTAATAATAGTGAAGGTAAAAGAGACAAGTGCTGATTGTTCAGTAATCAAATTTACACTTTGCTCTGTTGACAGGTCAAATGGTAGACATGAATGGAGTGTTTGACCCAAGGTGACACCAGGACAATATTACATCTTCAATGCCAAGTACACAAATCACTCACTCAAAGTACAAAGGGACTGTGGAATACCGTTAATAGCAATATCCTCAATGGCTTCCTCAAATCTAAATTCAACACAAAACCACTCCTTCATTTATTTGGTTCTTAATACCTCATCTGTGGAAAGCCTCCACAATAAATTGGGAAAAGGGCGTTGAATGTTGACGTGTTAATACTCACATTCCCATTTTCATAATTACATACAACCTCAAATAAACTTATACAAGTTCCCAATATTCTATCGGTCAAATACATACATGCAGGAGCAATGCAAGTCATTTGATTTTGAGAGGGTTTAGGTTGATTTTCCATTGTGTGTCAAAATAACAAAACAAAGAAATGGATATGAGTGAACATAAATCAGACAACATCCAAAATGGAAATGTACATGAATGTATTACAGGTGAAAATGCAAACTAGTATAGGGTTTTAAAATTTTGAATCAATTTTGGCAGAGAGAGTTAGTTTGCACCAATCAAAAATGATGTTTGCATCAGTTTTATCGACCAATGGCTCTCTGGATATAGAAGGGCTAATTAGCTGACTATCAAAACAGACTAATACAGTTTTGTATACTACATGCATACAACTATCAACAATTCATTGCTTAGAAATTTCACGATATCATTTGTGAGTGCAAAATTTGCCAGTCATCAAATTTCGTGTAAACAAACAATGTATATTACATTTGTTGTAAAATTGAACACAATACAGAGCAATC